GAGGTCAGGAGGAACTTCTTCACCCAAAGGGTTGTGAATCTGTGGAATTCCCTGCCCAGTGAAGCGGTTGAAGCTACCTCACTGAATGTTTTTAAGGCAAGGCTAGATAAATTTTTGAACAGTAAAGGAATTAAGGGTTATGGTGAGTGGGCGGGTAAGTGGAGCTGAGTCTCAAAGATCAGCCATGATCTTAGTAAATGGCGGGGCAGGCTCGAGGGGCTAGATGGCGTACTCCTGTTCCTAGTTCTTATGTTCTTATGTTCTAAAGAAAGACTGATAAAACAGCATTCACAGCTTATTTGGCCCTGCTCAATACTTGCTCATGCTATTTCTACAACGTTTTGTTATGTAAATATTCCAAGTCCTCTGCCCTCTCTTCAGGAACTTTTTTTTCAATGTTCTTACCAACTCAATTGTTTATCTATTTGAAACTTACCAATTCCAATGTATAAAATGGTAATAGAACATAGAACAGTACAGCCCACGAACAGGCCCTTTGGCCCACTATGTCTGTGCTAACCATAATGCCACTCTAAACTAATCCCATTTACCTGCACATGGTCTATATCCCTCCATTCTCTGTCTGTTCATGTGTCTGTCTAAATGCCTCTTAAACTTTGCTATCATATCTGCTTCCACCATCTCCCCCGGTACCTAAAATCCTCCGTGTAAAAAACTTAACTCACACATCTCCTTTAAACTTTCCTCCTCTCACCTTAAACCTATGCCCCCGAGTTGAACCACAGAAATGATACAGAACAGAAAGGGGCCATTTGGACCATCTGGTCTGTGCTGATCCAAAGACACCCAGCTGCCCTTTCGAATCCCATCTTCCTACTCACAGCCCAAAGCCCTCCAGTTTACAGCATTTAAGGTGCAGATCCAGGTACTTTTTAAAAGACTTTAAGGTCTCTGCCTCCATCACCAACTCATGCAATGAATTCCAGGCAGCCACCACCCTTTACGTAAAAAAGATTTTCGTTATGTTCTCTCTAATCCTTCTGCTGCTCAGCTTGAATCTCTAACATCTGGTTTTTGAAGTCTCTGCCAAGGGAAACAGGTTGCTCCCATCTACCCTTCACAATTTACCCCTCAGACTTCTCTGTTCCAAGGAAAATAACCCCAACCCCTCCAATCTCTTCTTGTAGCTTGGAGGAAAGGGTTTTCAATTTTACTGCTGTCATCATGTTACAGTTGTGCTTAGAGATGGACACAGAGCAGCTCTTTGCAATCAGAAATGTTTATTGAACTATGTGCATACACATACACAATTGGAATAGATTGCTGCATGACCATCTTATAATAAAACCTTCCAGACACTGCCTAACATAATCCTGAAATCACTGCTTGTGATTTTGTCAGCTGTTCTATTGATAACTACTTCCCTTATACAACAATCAGCACTACTGGTGCCATCATTACAACAGACCAAGATGTCCAAGTAGTAAGTGGACCGCTTCGAGAATGGCTCACACTGACTATAGGGTTTGTCTGTGTGCGTGTTTCAGAAGCATGCAGAGTGGGCGGATCAAGTTGTCAAACAACATCTCACACAGATATGGCCATGAACTGTCATTTGGGTCCTCATAGGCATTCAGCTACATGACAGATTCCCAATTAATGCTAATGAAAGGACTGACCATGGTCATCAAGTGTATTTTATTTGGTTTTGCTACTGCAGAAAGAGTCAAAGTATTGCATTCAGTGTTATTATACTTTAATAATTAAATCTGGATGCACTTCAATGCCTATCATATAGGAATAGTGTCTTGGTTTAATTCAATTTGATTCTGCATTTAATATTCCACTTATCACCTTCCTGTTACCTGCTGAATTTTTTTACCTGACTTTGTTACATGATGGTTACATATCTGTGGGATTTATGAATGTTTTAATGTAACTTGCTCATTGGATTGTGAACAGGTTTCTGGAATACATTACCACTGTTGTTATGGCAATTATTATTATTATTAGTTTGGAAAATGTTTTGGATGGTGGAAGTCAAGGGAGTTAGAAGCCCTGTCTGGAGAAAGACTTTATTCAGAAACAAAGGGGGCTATATTTGCATTTCCACTTGTGCTGCTGTGTGACTGTTGATGCGGAATGGGTAGCCAAGATGTGCACAGATGGAAGGAGAAAGACTCTCAATAGAAAGCTTACACAGCAAGGGTATTCCATCTCAGCCAGAACCAATTTCTCAGGCAGCTACATTTCACCAAGGATGCAGAGACTGAAATGTGCTTCCTTCTTTAACTAGATGTGCAGCTGTACTGCAGAGCCAGAACCAGCTGCTGCAAAAATAACTGTGGCCTTAAATTTGTATGGCACCATATTCTTCCCAGCTGGAGGCAGAAGGAGACATGTTCCTTAATGATGCTTGTTTTGTAGACCTTTAATTGAGAGCATTCATCGTCCTCCCTATGTGCACAACTTCCCCCATTGCTATTCAAGCAACCCCAGCTTCTCAAAGCAAATATTGTAGCTAAAATCCTGCAAACCTGGAATCAATAGTCCGTTACAAAACAGTAGGTGCATTTTTTCAAACCTGCCTGAAGACTGCGCCTGGACTAAATGACCCTGGGAAACCATCATGCAGGCTAGGAAATTATTTTAATTAGATCAACACACTTGTTAAAATAGCAAATAAAGGCTGCACCTAGTTGAAAACAGACATACATTCATAAAATAAAATGAACAATATGAGCAAAACTGATCACTTCTATTGAAATTCCTTGCCATTTAACAAACCATTTCATACTTGGCATCAAATTTCAGATTATTGTATCCCGTGATGCTAATTTTAGCCTCAACCTTATAACTATAGCATGTGATTCAAATTTTTCTCAAAGAAAGAAATAATTTGATTAGGTCAAATCTTGGGAATGAATAACTAGTTAATAAAACTTACATTTTGTCTGCTGAGTCATATATTTGGGAATTGTACCATTTTGCTCAAAATCAGAGTAGTAGTCTGTGCTATTTGCAAAGTGTCTGGTTTGGTATGGTTTCCTGATTCAAATATAAAATATATCCTTATGGTACATCTGGTAAACTTTTGGATAAGATGCATTTAATTTCAGAGGACTCAAACCAATGTGAATGGATATGTATGTTATTAAAGAATCCTCCAAGAAAGAAATGTTACTGCTCATTTGTATGAATAACAATTTAACATCATCAAAAGTAACATTTGATTATTTTCTAATGGTTTCTCTGCTACTTCTTTCACTTCTACAATATAATTTATCTTCAATCTAAAACCTAAACAGTAAGGAAATCACTAAAGTAAGTAGACATGGACTTTGATGGATAGAGGATGTACAATTAACTTTAATAGAGAGACAATCAAATGAATATTTCCATCAAGAAAGCCTGACTATGAAACTATCCACTTATTTCATCACTGTAAGCTCAGTCCAGTTACAAAAACTCAGCTCCTTGATTTGTAATCACATTCAAAGTACTGTATAAAACAAAAAAAAACTGAAATTATCAAGGACTTTGGCCACATTGTCCCTAATTTCACTGCTAAGAACCATTGACTGAAACATTAATACTGTTTCTCTCTTCACAGATAGTACCATATTTACAGCATTTTCTGTTTATATTGCCATTAATTTTATTGGTGTAAAGTCATGAAATTCTACAATTCTTTTAACATGAGGCACAAGAAGATTAATTTCTTACTCCTGTACAATGGAGCGATTTAGCCTGGTTCTGACTCTTCCACATGTTAATGTCTGATTACTGTAGGACTTACAAAGCTGAAGCCAGTTTTCATAACTGATTTCATAACTGAAAACTGGTTTCAGACAGGGTGGGGGAGGTTTGTTCAGGGACATGACAGCTTCTGATATTGCACTAAAACAGTACTGAATCGATAAATCTGCAAAAATGTTCACAGCTAGCTTATATCACCCATGAAGCTTTCTGCCCAAGATTTTGCTACAAGTATTTCTACATTTTGTATTGAAGTTTTCAATGCAAGGTCTAGCCATTCTTATTGATATTTGAGTTGCAGGCCATTAGAAAATTCTGATCATTCTGCTGCATTAACCTTGCTAACTTCCCTTTCCTACAGCCTCAGAGAGTACCAAGATCAATTTTGTGAACCACCAATCATTGTTGCAATGACCACTGGCCACTCCATTTTGTAATGTCAGTTTACTGTTGATAAAAGATTTCAGCTTACAAGATCAAATACGAAATTCAATAGTGAGGCTTGAGTTTGGGTAAAATGGTTTTCAGAGTAATGGGAATGAAAGAAATGAGAGCACACCACTGGTTAGAAAGCAAACCTGATGGTTCTTGTCTGTTTAAAAAGAAAACTCAGCCAAAACATAAGCCATCTTTTTTATTACCATATGTTTCCTCTTTACTTTGAAGGCTAAGGTACGCCATCTAGGGATCAAATTGTCAATGAAAATTCCCTTTTAGTGTTTAGTTTGAGAAATGAATTAAAATTTTGCACACACCTGATAGTTGTTGTCTAAGGGCTCAACAACAGATTGTCCAACTCTCTTTAATATCAAGGAATAGCACAAAGAGATGGTGAACAAAGGTAGAAGGTAGCCAGCAAGAAAGTGGTACAGTATGAAGCCTTTCTGATGGGAATCTGATGGAAAGGCCTCAGCACAATATGTTCTCGGTCCATACCAGTAACCTTTTATAATCTTCTGGTACATGATAATTGGCAAAGACAGAATCAAGGAACCTAGAATCAAAAAGCACTGATGTCAATGAGATCATCCATCAGCCTACAAGTAGCAAAGATAGCAATACGAGACTGCCATTAAATCAAGAAGCTTGGTGCTCGAATATGTTAGAACCTCTGGCATGTATTATGCCTTATATTCCTGTCTCTGTTTCTCATTCTTTACAATTCATATTCACTGTTAGACACTATGTTGCAAGTTTTTGTAAGTGCACTCTGGTTGGGACATAGTCATATCTTGCAAGGATATGATGTTTGATATGATCTTCTAGTTTTTAGGAGATACAGCCTACATACCCCTGGTATCACACAGGCATGAAAATTCATACGCCACTTTACACAGATGGAGTTTAATTTGGATATTTGTGAGGTATTGCATTTTAGTAAAACAAATAAGGGCAGGACTTCTACAGTTAATGGTAGGGACCTGGGTAGTGTTGTAGAACAGAGACACCTAGGGGTTCAGGTACATAATTCTTTGAAAATTGCATCACATGTAGACAGGGTGGTTAAGAAGGCATTTAGCATGCTTGCCTTCATTGCTCAGGCCTTTGAGTATAGGAATTAAGACATCATGTTGAGGTTGTACAGGATGTTGGTGAGGCCACTTTTGGAGTACTGTGTACAGTTCTGGTCACACTGCTATAGGGAGTGTATTATTAAATTGGATAGGGTTCAGAAAAGATCTACCAGAATGTTGTTGGGACCGGAGGGTTTGAATCATAAAGATAGGCTGGATGGGCTGGGACTTTATTCACTGAAGTCTCAGAGGTTAAGGGGTGAACTTATAGAGGTTTATAAAATCATGAGGGGTATAGAGAAGGTGAATAACAAGGGTCTTTTCCCTAGAATGGGGGAGTTCAAGACTAAGGGGCATATTTTTAAGATGAGAGGAGAAAGATTCAAAAAGGACATAAGGGGCAACGTTTTTACACAGACAGTGGCTCCTATGTGGAATGAACTGCCAGAGGAAGTGCTAGGTGCAGGTACAGTTGCAACATTTAAAAGACATTTCAGTAAGTACATGAATAGGAAAGGTTTGGAGAGATATGGGCCAAACGCAGGCAAGTGGGACTAGTTTGGTTTGGGAACCTGGTCAGCATGGACTCGTTAGACTGAAGGGTCTGTTTCCATGTTGTATGACTCTTGACTCTATTACTCACTTGTGTGACTCGAAGAACATCTTTGCAGCTTGATGGTAGCATCCTGTTATTGACATCCACCACTTGTGTTGTTACTGCAGGGTAGAAGCGTGAAGCAGCCAACTTCACTTGTCACTCAACTCATGAGTTAGCTCACCCTTCAAAAGTAATCTGGGGAATTTTCAGACCAATGAGTGAACACCTTAGGGCATTCCATGAGCTTGTACAATATACAGTAAGAAATGATCTGATCAGGGTTGCCATTATCCTGCAGGATAGTTTTTGTTATACCATGTCTCAGAATCAGGATCACAGGGTAAATGAGTGACTAGGGCCCTCCTTACAAGGTTGGCATGGTTGCATGTGGAACTGTAGCAATCTGAATATGTATATGGACCAATGGATGTAGATTTCAAGCAAATAGAGAATTCTCAGTTGATACCTCAATTAGAACATCAAGGAATTAATGAATGAACTTGATTTATTGTCACAAAATAGAATCTTATTTGACTGTTCCATTTCAAACATGAATTTGAGCACAGGACGTCACCTGTTACAACATTTGGAAAATACTTACACGTAGCTCTGGATGCAAATATACCAAATTTGAATCTACAGATCAGGGTTATACAGAGGTTGGGAGGTGTGTCATACCAATGAAGACATGGTTCTCATGAAATCCAACAAATATGTTGGTGAGCACTGGACCAAGTGGGGACCCCATCGCAATACCATTGATTTGGGCATACATGACATTGAGGAGGCAATGGCCTCGTGGTATTATTGCTGGACTGTTAATCCAGAGACCCAGATGACATTCTGGGGACCCGGGTTCGAATCCTGCCATGGCAGATGGTGGAATTTGAATTCAATTTTAAAAAATCTGGAATTAAGAATCTAATGATGACCATGAATCCATCGTCGAATGTCGGAAAAACCCATCTGGTTCACTAATGTCCTTTAGGGAAGGAAACTGCCATCCTCACCTGGTCTGGCCTACATGTGACTCCAGACCCACAGCAATGTGGTTGATTCTTAACTGCCCTCTGGGCTATTAGGGATGGGCAATAAATGCTGTCTAGCCAACGACGCCCACACCCCACGAATGAATAAAAAGAAAACTGAACTCAACTGTACGACATGCAGAGTTCATTAGATTTCCGGCTGATCAATGTTTGCTGAATAATCTTGACCATGGGAGAATTAATATTAATATATTAATATAAATGGCTTCCTGCACACGCAATATATAGTTTATCAGACCTTGTGTGTGCTGGGAGCCACATGTATTAATACACAGGGCCCTGCTCTTAGCAAAAAGAAAGAACAAGTACACCAACTATGCCTGTTTCAACTCAATATAATAAGTAAACAGCCATTCAGTGGTTTATTTCTCACAGCAATGCTCTGATCAGGCAGATTGACTCTGACTGGTTTAAAATTTAAACAAAGCCTGGCAGTTAACTGTCAATTATCATAAATTAGTGCATCCCACATGGCAAGGCTGCTAGCAAACAGGGTCTACTGGCTAACCAATCAGCACTCACCTCTGATGTAATATGTGTTGGTTTTCTTCTTGAATTGCTATTCTTGCGAATTGTCCTGATAATTCGCAATGACGAAAAGCTTCGATAAACTGTCTTTTTTCAGCAATATTCAGGTTTTGTACTACCAAATGACTGTTTATCATAGTTCTGTTAATCCTCACATATTCAAACACAATTATCAGCATAGGTGTTTTGATATCCACAGTGTTAAATCAGAATATACCTATCCATATGCATGCGCTGACCACCATGGCGACCTTAGGAGTGCGATGACGCAACGACTTAAGCGCATAAAGTGTTGCATAACAGCGATCAGCACTCATTGCAGTCAAAGTAATGCAGGTTGCCTGGACAGTAACCTGTAAAAAAATAAATATATAAGCATCCTTCATTACATAATAGAGCAGTAAAGGTGATGAGAAAATAATTCAATTGGGTTATTGGTGGCTGCAATAATAATCAGGTGCTGGGAGTCAATGACAAATTGAACATTTCAAGGACCACTAGTAAAAGCCTAAACGGAAACAGGACAGTTTCATTCCTTATCAGTACCCTAATGAAGAATAAAGATAGGGTTCAAGTGTTTGCACATTTAGAATAGAATTGCTTCAGGGAAAGGTTCGTGAAAAATATTCTCAATCAATGATTCAAATGTTTTAAGCATCTCATTAAAAGCTTTCAGGCATAAAATGAGTTGGGATGTCATGTTGAAGGTGTAGAGGACATTGGTTAGGCCACTTTTGGAATATTGCATTCAATTCTGGTCTCCTTGCTATACGAAGGATGTTGTGAAACTAGAAAGGGTTCAGAAAAGATTTACAAGGATGTTGCCAGGGTTGGAGGGTTTGAGCTATCGGGAGAGGCTGAATAGGCCGGGCCTATTTTCCCTGGAGCATCAGCGGCTGAGGAGTTACTTTATAGAAGTTCATAAAGTCATAAGGGGCATGTATAGGGTGAATAGCCAAGGTCTTTTCCCCAGTGTAGAGAAGTCCAAAACTAAAGGGCGTACATTTGAGGCAAGAGAGGAAAGATATAAAAGGGACTGAAGAGTCAACAGTTTCACACAGACGGTGGTGGCTGTTTAGAATGAGTTGTCAGAGGAGATGGTGGAGACTGGTACAATTACAACATTTAAAAGGCATCTGGATGGGTGTATGAATAGGAAGAGTTTAGAGGGAAAAAGGCCAAATGCTGGCGAATGGGACTAGATTAATTTAGGATATCTGGTTGGCATGGACGAGTTGGACCGAAGGGTTTTTTTATTTCTGTGCTGTACAGCTCTATGACCACAAATGAAGGAATTGCAGATATTTATCACCCTAACTGGCATTCTATCCAATGGTAATTGCATTAAGCAAATTATTTGCTACAGATTGTACAAAATGTTTTTTTTTGCTAAGTAACATCCGATTGATTTAGAATTAGAATTAGAATTAGGTTTTATTCTCACATGTACTCAAGTGTAGAAGTACAGGAGTACATTGAAAAGTTTATAAAGTCACCATTCTCCAGTGCCATCTTAGGTACAAAAACCCAAATTTGAAAAACAAAAACAAAAACCATCTAAGATACATAAACCAGAATTACAAAATTGGGTGCATTCAAACAGATATGTTCTAAGGTATTGGAAGGGGCTTACTGTGCTGAAGGGAACTAAGCAAGAACAGTTAAATTCAACGACCTGTTCAAGTAAATAAAAATATTTTTAGTTATTTGGTAGTTTCAGTGGTATCTTATCTTGTTTCCTGAATCTGAACTAATTGTAGTCCTGGCTCTTTTGACTCCATTATGATATCACCTATTGACACTCCTCAGATCCTCTAATGACACTTCAAATCAACGTCAAAAACTAAAGTCACCTTTTTAGATTTCCTTCAGGATTAACAAATCTATGTCCTCTAGTTTTGGACTCTCCCACCCTGGGAAAAAGACCTTCGCTATTCACACTATCCATGTTCCCCACGATTTTATAAATCTCTAAAAGGTCACCCCTCAGTCTCTAGCACTCCAGGGAAAATAGCCCCAGCCTATTCAGCTTCTTCTTATAGCTCATACCCTCCAACCCCGGCAACATCCTTGTAAAGTTTTTCTGTACTCTTTCAAGTTTAACAACACCTTTCCTATAGCAGAGAGACCAGAATTGAATGCAATATATTCGCAACATGACATTCCATCTCCCATACTCTGCACTGACCAATAAAGGCAAGCGTACCAAACACCTTCTTCACCTGCCTATCTGCAACTCCACCCTCAAGGAACTACGAACGTGCACCTCAAGGCAAAACTCCCCAGGACCCTACCATTAGGCGCATAAGTCCTTCTCTAATTTGCCTTACCAAAATGCAACACATCACATTTGTGTAAATTAAACTCCATCTGCCACTCCTTGGCCCATCAATTCATCTGATCAAGGTCCTGTTGGTAATTTGAGATAATCTTCTTCACTGTCCACTACACCACCTATTTTGGTGTCATCTGTGAATTCACTAGCTGTACCTCTTATATTCACATCCAAATTATTTATATAAATAATGAAAAGCAGTGGACCCAGCATTGTTTGACCTATTCTTGAGAAATAAGGTAGGGCAGGTAACTGAGATGGGAGCACTTTGGGGCCAGCGACCACAATTCTATTAGTTTTAAAATTGTGATGGAAAAGGATAGACCGGATCTAAAAGTTCAAGTTCTAAATTGGAGGAAGGCCAATTTTGAAGGTGTTAAACAAGAACTTTCAAAAAGTTGACTAGGGCGGATGTTCACAGGTAAAAGGATGGCTGGAAAATGTGAATTTTTCAAAAATTAGATAACAAGAGACCAGAGACAGTATGTTCCTGTTAGAGTAAAGGGCAAGGCTGGTAGGTGTAGCAAATGCTGGATGACTAGAGAAATTGAGGTTTTGGTCAAGAAAAAGAAGGAAGCATATGTCAGGTATAGACAGCAGGGATCGAGTGAATTCCTGGAAGAGTCTAAAAGCAGTACGTGTCTACTTAAGAGAGAAATCAGGACGGCAAAAAGGAGACATGAGATAGCTTTGACAAATACGGTTAAGGAGAGTCCAAAGGGATTCTACAAATACATTAAGGACAAAAGAGTAACAAGGGAGAGAATAGGGCCCCTTAAAGAACGTCAGCCTCTCTGCTCCTATGATGCTGCTTGGCCTGATGTGTTCATCCAGCCCTGCACCTTGTTGTCTCGGATTCTCCAGCATCTGCAGTTCCTACTATCTCTGATTCAATTTTAACCCCACTGCGAAGCCTCTTTGAAGGATGCCTAGCCTGAAGAAGTTACCCTCCTCCCTCCGGACAAACCTCAAGGGATCTCTCTCCCACTGCAACTCTCTCGTAACCCTCTCCACCTATCCTCTCCTCTATCCATCTTCTATCCGCCTCCCACTCTCTCCCTATTTATTTCAGAACCCCCTTCCCCTCCCCCTTTTCTGATGAAGGGTCTAGGCTCGAAACGTCAGCCTCTCTGCTCCTATGATGCTGCTTGGCCTGCTGTGTTCATCCAGCCCTGCACCTTGTTGTCCCTTAAAGATCAGCAAGGCCGCCTTTGTGTGGGACTGCAGGAGATGGGGGAGATTCTAAATGAGTATTATACAGCAGTGTTTACTGTGAAGAAGAACATGGAAGCTAGAGAACTTGGGGAAATAAATAGCAACATCTTGAAAAATGTCCATATTACAGAGGAGGAGATGCTGAATGTCCTAAAATGCATAAAGGTGGATAAACCCCCAGGATCTGATCAGGTGTAACCTAGAACTCAGTGGGAAGTTATGGAAGTGATTGCTGTGCCCCTTGCTAAGATATTTGTATGATCAATAGCCACAGGAAAGGTGCCTGAAGACTGGAGGTTGGCTAACGTGGTGCCACTATTTAAGAAAGGTGGTAAGGAAAAGCCAGGAAACTATAGACTGGGGAGCCTAACATCAGTGATGGGCGAGTTCATAGATCATAGAATTTCTACAGTGTCAAAACAGGCCCTTCGGCCCAACAAGTCCACACCGATTCATCACCCTACAAGCCACCTAATCTCCACATCCCTGAACACTACGGGCAACTTAGCATGGCCAATCCACATAGCCTGCACATCTTTGGACTGTGGGAGGAAACAGAAGCACCCAGAGGAAACCCACGCAGATACGGGGAGAATGTGCAAAGTGCACACCCAAGGGTGGAATTGAACATGGGTGCCTGGCACTGTGAGGCAGCAGTGCTAACCACTGACCCACTGTGCCGCCTGTTGGAGGGAATCCTGAGGGACAGAATTTACATATATTTAGAAGAGCAAGTACTGGTTAGGAATAGTCAACATAGCTTTGTGCATGGGAAATTGTGTCTCACTAACTTGATTAAGTTTTTTGAAGAAGTAATGAAGAGGACTGATGAGGGCAGAGCAGTGGACATGATCTATATGGATTTCAATAAGGTGTTTGACAAGGTTCCTCATGGTGAACTGGCTCGCAAGGTTAGATTACATAGAACACAGGGAGAACTAGCCATTTGGATACAAAACTTGAAGGTAGAGACAGTGGGTGGTGGTGGAGGGCTGCTTTTCAGACTGGAGGCCTGTGACCAGCAGTGTAGCACAAGGATTGGTGCTGGGTCCACTACTTTTCATCATTTATATAAAAGATTTGGATGCGAACATTGGAGGAATGGTTAGTAAGTTTGCAGGTAACACCAAAATTGGAGGTGTAGTGGCCAGCGAAGAAGGTCACCTCAGAGTATAATGGATCTTGATCAGATGGGCCAATGGGCTGAGGAGTGGCAGATGGAGTTTAATTTAGGTAAATGTGAGGTGCTGCATTTTGGAAAGGCAAATCAGGGCAGGACTTGGACACTCAATGGTAAGGTTATGGGGAGTTTTGCTGAACAAAGAGGCCTTAGAATGCAGGTTCATAGTTCCTTGAAAGTGGAGTCCCAAGTAGTCAGGATAGTGAAGAAGACATGAGAGGCAACATTTTTCATGCAGAAGGTGGTGCATGTATGGAATGAGCTGCCAGAAGAAATGGTGGAGGCTGGTACGATTGCAACATTTAAAAGGTATTTGGATGGGTATATGAAGGGTTTGGAAGGGTATGAGCCAAAAGTTAGCAAATGAGACTAGGTCAGATTGGGATGTCTGGTTGGTGCGGATGAGTTGGACCAAAGGGTCTGTTTCCATGCTGTAAGACTCTATAACATATACCGTTTATATCCTCACCCATTATGGCCTCATGCACATCCCCATTTTAATTGCATCACCATCAGCAGCTAAATATCCAGCTGCTGGGGCTCTAAGTTCTGGATTTCCTTCCTTAATCGCACCTCCTCTTGATGCCTTCTTTCCCCTTTAAGATGTTCCATCAAACATATCTCTGTGACCAAACATTTGGTCAGCTGTCTTAGAATGTGTCTCAGTGTCATGTTTTGTTCAATAATACCCTACTGAAACACCTTGGAACGTTATAACATCTCAAAGAATGCAAGTTATTTTTACATTTGTTTACTTTCATTGAGTTAGTAAATTGGTTAAAATAATATACAAAACTTTCATAAATACATTAACCAGAGCATGGATTACAGCAATTTAAAATACCTTAAATCATGTTAAAGACTCAAGAATGCTAATTCTAACCACATTTTCTTGCTTCATTAACTCACTTTGTTCTGATTTACTGATGTCTTTGACAGTGCAGCTCTAAATGTCAGTAATATTGTGACATTCATCTTTGCTTTATAGACCAACATTTCTTTAATTTCCTAACCGCTCAGCATGTGTATGTTCACTTACCTGTTGTAAGTAGTTGACAAACTTGCACATGAAGTCTCCAAAGATCCAGCCAGGTAGAGGGTATAGAGTGGCAGTAAATGGAACACAGCACACGAGGAATATTATGTCTGTAGCAGCCAGGTTAGCTTTCAATGAAATGGAAGATATCTTTAGGATTCAAAGGTTTTTGTCAGTCCATAAGACTTTCCACTGCCTATTTGGGAAACACTTCCACAAAAATATTTTCAAGGATCATCAACGAAGATCAACGCTTTCCAAATCTGTTTGCTGTCACATAATACGTTTACAGGTGCAAGAATGCGCCATTTTACTTCTGATAAATCATATCTTTAATTTTTCATTATTGATGTAAGGCTAACAAGTCTGTACTTATCCACTGTGGTCCTCTCAGTTTTTATAACTTTGGGAATGGCTGTATTACAACTTTCCCACTGTTCATTGTTCCCACCTAACTACAACATAACTCCCGGTCATTCAGAAATGTCCTTCATTGTCTATCTAATTAATTTGAATTTTAGCTGTTCTGCATTGCAGTATATATTGCCTTTTGGCCTCTTTTACCTATTAGAACCTAGGCTTTGTTAATGGTGGTGATAAATGAACAAAAAAAGTGTTTTGTAGTAAACAGCACAGAGGCTGAAAGTAGTCTAAATCTATACCAAAAATTTGTTTGGTTCTGCAATAATTTAGACATTTCGGATGCACAAAGCTTTGGAAATTTAATTTACAGCTCCTTGTATTTTGTAGTTCAGACATACGTTTTATTTGTGAAAATAAAATGAAATACTCCAAAAAATCTGTTTCCAACACTAATGGATTAAGGCATGCTTGATAAATATTATGGCCGTGATGTGGATCAAGCATGAACCCCAGACAAACACTTCCCCAAACTCACTCAGTTTAATTCACCTAGCACAAAATAACTGGTCTCCGAAGGCTTCCTGATTGGAAGTTAATACAAATGGTTTGATCAAAATCATAACCAAATAGAAGAGCTCATATTTCAACTGTTAAGCTGCCTATTCTCTCCATAGCTGCAGAATATTTTCAGAATGTTTTGCTTTTATTCAGGTTTTAGACATCTCCATTTTACTTTTCCTTTTTGTCTGTTAATGTGATGTTTTCTTGACTACCACTAGAGAGCAGCAATGAATTAGTAAGGCAGAGAGTGCTGTACGTTTTATAAGCAATGGCCTGGCAGAGAAACATGCCAGGCATTTAGGAAATATTTTTTTAACTTGAGTTATTCTGAATGAAATATACCATATATACTGGTGGACATGAAGGTGAAGAAATAGAGAGAAAAGTGAAAGATGCGTGTTTTGTACTTACCTGGAACATAAACTTTTCAAATGCAACAAATTGCATCTATACCATCCACAGTCTCATTGATTTGTATGATAAATGGCAAACTGCTGATTCTCGAAAATAGTCTTTGCTCTGACAATTGAAGAAATGTATGTGATGAAATCCTCTTCAGCAATCTATGAATATTGTAACATTCAGGGAAGTGGCAACTCCACTGGGTTGATACAGTTGTTTCAAAACATTATACATTATTTACATTCAAGTGTGGGGCTTGATGAGAGGTTTTCAATAGGTCATTCAGCACAGTTCAAGAGTTACTCAACAGTTAATTTTAGGCAGTTAAAGCAGTTGAGGCTACACCATTGAATTTTTTAAGGCAAAGATAGCTAGATTTTCGTACAGGAAAGGAATTAAGGAGAGGGTGGGTAAGTAGTGTTGAGTCCACGAACAGATCGGCTATGGTCTCATTGAATGACGGATCAGACTCGACGGGCCAGATAGCCTACTCCTACTCCTATTTCTTATGTTCTTACGGACGAAGGCAGTTAAAGAAGTTGGTTTTTACTTTATGGCGCTAATCAGTCAGCTAATTTGCAGGATGGAAAAGAAGTTTCATCTTGAAAGGTGCTGCCAGAGCACCTTTTTGTGAGCCCTCAGAAGAAGCTGTGTGCCATTCAGAGTTCACTGCAGCTGACAGCAAGGATGAAGGAAGCCCTTAAGCAGTATTAGTTTTGTGCTGCTGAGCAAAGTGAGAAAAATGCAGGGGCAGTACCAGCTTGGTTAAGCTAGCTGTCCATGAAAAGCAGAAGTTGTGCCTGTGAATACATGCTGTAGTGCAGTTTCCAGAATCCTGCAGAATGCAGTCATGATTTGGACAGTAAACTACCGGACATGAACAGTCACTGAGACAGGCCATGTTAGAATTGCTTTCTAGTGAGCTCTGAAAATAAATTGTCAACATAGGAATTAGAACGTCTTGTAAATTTTTAACAAGATTTGGTGAGCAAGAGTGCCACTAAATCTGGAGGCTTGTTGAGAAATCTGTGAAGTCTGCTGGTCTATTACCTATACTTACATCAGGTTCAGTCTAATTGGATGTTAGGATACAAATTGTAGATTGTGTAATTGTTCTAATATGGTATAATACAATGAAGTTTATTGTTAATTGTTCATTGTCATGGAATCTTATAGTTTTATTCTCTTAGTAAGTCCCTGGAATCTCACACTTTGTCAGCTTTTTAAAAAAGTTACTTATCCCTAGCCAGATTATAATATAAATTTCGTAGTCTGGTCAAGGATCATAACATGTGTTTGTTACCATTCACTGCAATAGGTCTGAAACTACTGATGTCAGTGAAATTGCATTCTATTGCACTGATAAATCTAGCTTCATTTACAGAAATGTTTGAAAAGTTAAAGGTAAATTGTTGCACTTAACACAGTGGCACAATACATTAAAGAACCAGCAGATTGCACCTAAACAATCAAAACCACAACCCCATTTAATTTCTGGATGACACCAAATTAACAGGTGAGCAACACTAAATAAAATTGCTAATAACACTACATCATGGAGCACAGTAAATACTGAAGAAGACAGCAGGAAAATACTAAAAGAGGGTTAATAGACTTATAGAACAGGTTGAATTGATAAATTAAGTTCAATATGGATAAGTATAAGATTTACTTTTTAGTAGGAAGAATAAAGAGCTCAAGTGCTGCTCTGATTATTAAGAGTCTAAGCAGGGTAAATGAGCTAAGGTACCTATGGGAATAAAACAAAGAACTGAGGATGCAGGAAATCTGAAACAGAAGTAGAAATTACTGCAGAAACTCAGCAGGTCTGGCAGTATCTGTGGAGAGAAAACAAAGTTAATGTTTTGAGTCCAGTGATTCTCCTTCAGAACAATCCTTTTTCTACTATTGACCAAAAACTCAGCTGGATTCACCACATAAACACGGTGGCTACAAAAGCAGGTCATAGGCTGGTTATACTGCAGTGAGTATCTCACCACCTAACTCCCCAAAGTCTGTCCACCATCTATAAGGCACAAGTCAGGAATGTGATGGAATTCTCTCCACTTGCTTGGAAGAATGCAGATCCAACAACAGTCAAGAAGCTTGACACCATCCAGGACAAAACAACTCGCTTGATTGGCACTACGTCCACAAGCATTCACTCCCTCCACCACCAACACTCAGTAGCAGCAGTGTGTACTGTCTACAAGATGCACCATAGAAATTCACCAAATATCCTCAGACTGCACCTTCCAAACCACGACCACTTTCATCTCAACAGACAAGGACAGCAGATCCACCGGAACGCCACAATCTTCAAGTCCTCCTCCAAGCTATTCACCATCCTCATTTGGAAATATATCACCATTCCTGCACTGTCACTGGGTCAAAATCTTGGAATTCCTTTCCTTAGGGCATTGTGGGTCAACCTACAGCATGTGGACTGCAGCAGTTCAAGAAGGCAGCTCACCACCACCATCACAAGGGCAACCAGGGACAGGCAATAAATGCTGGCCAACCAGCAACACCTATGTCCCACGAGTGAATAAAGAAAAGCCATGAAAACACTTGCAAAAATTGCAGACTCAGTACAGGGGTACTGTATCCAATACTATGTATCATATTTTTGGAAGAAGATGAAGGCTTTGAGTACTCTACAGAAGAAATTTATTAGGATGGTTCTAAGGATAAGGGATGACAGTTACATGGAGAGAATGGGAAAGGATGGTTCTCAGAATAGATATGCTAAAGACAAGTTTTGGCAAAGGTGTTTAAATATAATCATAGAATAACAGAATCCCTACAGTGTAGAAACAGGCCATTCAGCCCATTGAGTCCACACCAACCTTCCGAAGAGACCCACCCTGCTACCCTAACTCTGTAACCCCACATATCCCATGGTTAATCCAGCTAGCCAGAACATCTCAGGACATAATGGGCAATTTTGCATTGCCAATGCACCTAACCTGCATGGATGGGTGAATGTTTTAGAGAAAGTAAATAAAGCAAAACCATTCTCAATGATTGAAGAGTTTGTGACTAGTGACATAGATTTAAAATGATTCGCAAATGAGCCTAGCGTGAAGAGAATTCTCTAAAGCAATGAGCAGTTAAGATTTGGAATGGTGATACAAATTCAATGCAACTCTCAAAAGGAATTAGACAAACACTAGAAAAAAAAACTGCAGGGAAATGGGGAAAAGATGGGGGAATGGGATGAACTGAATTACTTTTTGAAAGAGCCAACAGCTAACTTGATGAATCTGGCACACTTCTTCTGTGCTACTACTTTTGTGATGCCACAATATAGAGCCAAGGTTCATTTCTACAGGGACAGAATTGAATAGCAGAAAGCTATATTAGACTTATATATGTGCTGGACTCCCCCATCAACATCAGCGCAAGAGACAAGGCTGAAGTATTCGCAGCAATCTTCAAACACAACTGCTGAGTGGATGACACGTCCTGAGGTCCCAAGCATCACAGATGCCAGTTCTCAACCAATTTGATTCACTCCATTTGATATCGAGTAACAACTGAAAGCACTGGATACTGCAAAGGTATGGACCATGACAACATTTTGGCAATAGAACTGAAGACTTGTGCGGCAGAAATAGTTGCACCTTTGCCAATCTGTTCCAATGCACCCGTAATAATTTCTCTTACCCTGCAATATGGAAAATTGCTTAGTATGTCCTGGATGCAAAATGCAGGATAAATCCAAAGCAGCCAATTACCACCCTATTAATTTATTCTCATACATCAGCAAAATGATGGAAGGTCTCAGCAACAGTGCAATCAAACAGCACTTGCAAAGAAATAACGTACTCATTATGCTCAATTTAGGTTCTGTCAGGGCCACTCAGCTCTTGACCACATTAGAGTCTTGATCCAAACATGGACAAAAGAGCTGAATTCCAGAGGTGAGGTGAGATTGACTGCCCTTGACATCGAGTATGGCATCAAGCAATTCGAATCAATGAGAGTAAGGATTAACTCTATGCTGATTGGAGTTATAGCTGACATAAAGGAAGATGGTCATGGTTGTTGAAGGCCAATTATCTCCAGCCAATGACATATCTACAGGAGTGCCTCTGGATAATGTCCTACACCCAATCAACTGTTTCACCAATAATCTTCCAGACAACATGAAATTAGAAGTGGAGATGTTTGCTATTTATACACAATTTTAGCACCGTTTGCCAACGCTCAAATACTGAAGCAGTCTCTGTTCATACGCAGTAAGAGCTGGACAGAATTCAGGTTTGGGCTTATAAACAGTAAGTACCACTCATGCCACACAAGTGCCAGTCAATGACTGTGCAATAAAGGTGAATCTAACCATCACCCCTTGATGTTCAATGGTACTATCCTCTTTGAATTATCTACTATCATTTTCAAAGGATTACTATTGACCAAAAACTGAACTTGAACTTGAAATACTATAGCTACACATGCAGGTCAGAGGTTAAGAATTCCGAGGCAGGTAACTCGCCTCCTGTTTTCCCAAGGCACAAGTTACAAATGTGACTGAATGAGTGCAGTTCCAACAACATTGAAGAAGTTTGACACCATCCAGGAAAAAGCAGTCCACTTGATTGGCACCATATCAACCATCTTCAACATTCAGTTACTCCACCACTGACGCACAGTAGCAGCAGTGTGTACCACTTACAAAATGTACTTAAGTAACTCACGAAGGCTCTTCAGACAGCACTTTCCAAATACAGGGCAGCAGATGCATGGGAAGAACACCATTCTCCTTTTATCATACACATAAAAATTCTGTCTTGGAAATATATCACCTTCCCTGCACTGTTGCTGGGTCAAGATCCTGGAACTCCCTCCCTAATAACACTACGGCTGTATTGACACCCCAGGGTGTCATTGGTTCAAAAAGACAGCTCACCATCATCTTCTCCAGAGCATTTAGGGAAGGCAATAAATGCTGGCCCAGCTAGTGACATCCACATCCCATCAATGAATTAAAATAATCAAATTTTGGTTCATCCAGCATTGTACATATTTCTTGTCTCCGTATTTCAGAAAGGATAGGAGGCATTGAAGAAAGCATCAAAGAGCTACTCAAAGATGATACCAGAAATGAGAGGATAT